ACAACACATATGGAAGCACATGGGGTTGATTCCACAATCAAGGAACCTACACCACTTCTCGTCGGTTCATATGAGATTCTATGTTCGACTTAAATAGACTTAGGTATGCCCTTTGCTTTCACTGATCTTTTAGTTCCTATTGATACCACACCTGTGCCTAATACTATTGTAGATGACCTAGACCTTCCTATTGCACTGCAAAAGGGGAAGAGAGTATGCAACCCATTTTATTGCACATCATCTTTCCTATAGTGGATTATCTCCCTCCTATCGGGCCTTCCTTTCCTCTCTTGATTTTGTGTCTTTACCTAGGAATGTTAGTGAGGTTCTTTCCAAACCTGAGTGGAGGGAAACTATATAGGAGGAAATGGAAGCCTTGGTAAAAAATCAGACATGGGAAGTTGTGGATCTACCTAATGATAAGGAGACAATTGGTTGTAGATGGGTTTATACTGTAAAGTACATGGTTGATGGTACCATATAAAGGTACATGGCAAGGTTGGTTGCAAAAGGGTATACTCAAACCTATGGGATAGACTATTTGGAGGCTTCTGCACCAGTGGCCAAAATGAGTTCAATTCGGATTTCTTATCTTTAGTAGTTACCTATTCTTGGCCTCTCTTCCAACTTGATGTGAAGAATGCTTTTCTCAATGAAGATTTATTGGAAGATGTGTATATGGGCGTTCCAGTTTGTATGGTTGTGTAGGCAAAGGAAAGGTATGCACATTAAAGAAGTTCTTAATTGGATTGAAACAGTCACCCAAGAGCTTGGTTTGACCAGTTGAGGGGACTATTGGTGTTAGTGTTGATAGTATGTGGATGACATTGTAGTAACAGGGACTGACCTGAGTGAGATTGATGCCTTAAAGCGGAACCTACACCAGGAGTTGGAGATTAAGGACTTTGGGGAACTAAGGTATTTTCTTGGTTTTGAAGTGGCAGGGTCCAAACATGGGATCTTCATTTCTCAGAGAAAGTATGTGTTGGACCTATTACAGGAGATTGGAAAACTTGGGGTTAAACTAGTTAATACTCCTATTAACTAGAATCACAAAATTAATGTTTTAGATGGTGAGCTAGTTAGGGATTTTGGGAGGTTTCAGAGATTGTTGGGCTGACTATTATACTTGTGCATAACACAACCATATATCACATATGCAATTAGTGTGGTGAGCCAATATATGCATGCTCCACGAGCTCAGCACTGGGAAGCTATTGACAAGATACTTGTCTATTTGAAAAGACATCAGGTAGAGGGATATTGTTTGTTGACCATGGGCACTTGAAGCTGGAAGCTTACATAGATGCAGATTGGGCAATGTGCCTAAATGACAGCAGATCTACATCAAGAGTTTGCGCTCTTGTTGGGGGTTATCTGGTTTCATGGAAGAGAGTTGTAGCCAAGTCACATGCAGAAGCAAAATATAGAGCTATGGCACATGGTGTTTCAAAGCTTCTCTGTGATCGGTCATTACTAGGAGAGCTTTGAATTGATAGAACCTATGATGTACTGTGATAATCAAGCAACAATTAACATTGCCCATAATTCAATTTAGGATGATAGGACAAAGCATATAGAAGTGGACATGCATTTCATAAGAGAAGGGGTGACATCTGGGTAGGGTTGCCTGCTGTATGTTTCATTTGACTTACAACTTGCTGATGTAATCACCAAGAGAGTTGCAAAAAATAAGCTTGAACATGATCTACGCAAGTTGGGAATATATGACATTTACTCCCAAGTTGAAGGGGTGTGTTGGAGTTTAGCATTTTTTTAGTTCTTTTTAATTAGTGTTATTGGGCCCAAGGCCTAACAGTTTATGTTTATTTTTATGTAATTGGCAGCAACCACCCAACCACCCTATTAATGGTATATTGGACATTGTACTCTTTTTTATTTGATAAGTATACAAGTTATTGAGTGGGGCGGCCAGATTTATTTTTTTCTGGCTTCTCCCATCTCTTCTTCTCTTCTCTCCAAGAAACTCTTTTCTTTCTTTCTTTATTGCTGTTATTAAATCAGATTACTGTTCCGCAATTTCCTACTAATGTAAAAGGTAATATTTACAAATTTAAATTATAATGATAAGTTTTGAACTATATTATCATCATCATCATCATTATTATTACTATTATTATTGAAAATCAAATTTAAACGTTTTATGGTTGTGATTCTAATCATTAATCTATATTGATAGTAACATTATCAATGGTACAATGTATGATTATGTAATTATGTCAAATTTATAATTTTTAATGTTAAAAAATAACTTATAGTACTATATTAAACTCAACAACAGATATAGCTATCCAACTTGACTTTTGATGTTATGGATATTTATTTTTTAAAGAAAAGGTTCCATAGGTGGACCCTGGAACTGGCGTTGGAACTGCCAAGGCCAGAACTGACCTTGGAACTGATCTTGACAGGGTAGGTTCTGGTTCCAAAAACCTGGAACCAACCCCTACAGGGTAGGTTTGAACGGAACCAACCCATGCTCATCCCTACTGGCGAGTGATTGATATAAAGACATTCACCATAGATGATCTACAAAGATGTTGGCTGGGAGGTTGGAATTCAATTTCGATGGGTGCAGACTAGGCAACCCATTGAAGTCAGGGATCGGAGTAGTTAAAGGCTGCAATAAATATTTTTGTCTTATTGCAAAGGGTGGTCCCATTGCAAAGGGTGGACATATACAATAGTAGAGGTAGGTTTGTTAGACAGTCGTATCAGTGATGTGAGATGAAAGAACATACATTGGGCCTATAGATCTTTGGTCAGACAATCACAAGCACTGGGCAATAACTTAGCTCATTCAAGTGGGTGCCTAAGACTGCCGAAGCAAAAGAAGGGGTAAGAAAGGCAAATCTTCGGTAGGGTATACCGGGGCTGGGTTTACATCTGTAGATTTTTATTTGATTGAATGTCATCAAGGTCAGCCTTGTAATCCATCCTCACCAATTCACCATTCATTATCAAGGGTGATGGGAATTTTTTTTGGATGGTTAAGTTGTAGGAAAATTCTTGTGCCATTTTATTTGTTATCGTAAAAAAATCATACATTGAAAAGTTGGTCTTGAGATGCCTCTCCGCACAATAGATTCCTAGGAATCATATAATTCTTAGCCATTGGAGGATAGATGTTAGCTGCTAATCTGCCATACCAAATGTCTTCTAAAATCTTACCTAACTCCAAAGGAATCATACAAGTCAAGTACTATGATCCAAGGATTAAGGTATTGCTACGATTGCCCATCCTTCTAGTCGCGTGTACTGGCCTGATATGCCATTTGTATCGGTGCATATTGCATAGTATCGGCCGATGCAGTTCGATACTCAGCGCAAGGTTCAAAGTATTGACACGTATCAGCCCGTATTGGCTGATACGTATCGTGCCGATGGCTTCCCGATACGCCCCTACAGGGGTTGTATCGGGTCCGGCCATGGTTCAGAGCGTAGCCGAGACTTAAACTGACCCCTCTGAATTGGTTTTGAAAAAAAACAAATAAATAAAACATAAAAAAGCACTGACACAATTGACCTGTGTCGATATGTAGAACCTTGACTTAGCGATATGGAGGTGAATTGAGGGTGTATCAAACAACACTACAAAAATAAAAGGATGGCGTGATTCAAACACAAGACACCAACGCCCAACAATTAAACACGTCATTAACCACTAAGCCAACACTCATTTTATGATAATAAATGAAATGCATTAATGTTAATTCAATTTAATGTCCACAACCAATTCAAATAAATAACATATATTATATTCGACCACCCCAATATAACAAATAATTTATCAAATCTACATTTATATCAAAAATGATTTTTAACCTCAAGAAATTTATACAAATAAAAATATTAATGAATAAAATAGTTATTTTAGTACTTAAAATTTATAAATTAGCACATGATATGTATCTTAAAACTTTTATAAATTATTAATTAATTTTTTAATTTTTATCAAATAACAATGTATTTATTATTTACAAAAAAAATATTATTTACAAATTGTTTGAGAATATAATATAAATTGAATCTATCAAATCCACTATTTTACATTTATATAAAAAATTAACAATTTAAAGAAATAAAAATATTAGTAATGAAATAATTATTTTAGTAATTAAAAATTGTGAATTTACATTTGATTTGTATCTTCGAAGGTTTAGTGGATTTGATATAAGATTATATAATTTTGTAAATTATTAATTGATATTTTAATTTATATTTTATAATAACACGTTTATTGTTTATAAAAATAAAAATATTATTTACCAAACATTTGAGAATTAAAATTTTAGTTGACCTTTCTGTTAATGTTAAAAATAAAAAAAAGATAAATGGAAAATAATTGAGATAATAATTCAAATATAATAGTTGCATATTTTTTTGCCATGGACTTTAATAGAAAATAAAATAATAATGGCTGTGTATGTATTAATTTGTAAAAATCTATATAATATATATCTTGGGCTCTTGATTAATGTATTATCAATAAAGTTGTATGATATCAATGCATCCTAATATAATAATTTCTTCATATATACCATTAAAATATATACTATTTTTGGTTATTTTGTCATTAAATTTAGTGGTTTTAATAATTTAATATACATGTGGAATTTGTTGCCTATGACTTGGTATTAAACTTAGTTGGTTCCCAACCAGAAACGTGTTTTCCTAGCATGGCAAGTGTGGCCATGGTGGGTAAACTAAATTGTTGGCTATTGTCATGTATAAAAGATGTATTAGACCATATTCTCTCTTCTTTCAGGTGCAAGGTTCAATTCTGTCTCTGTAGAGTGTTAGTGTATATTGGTCCTGTATGATTTAACAAAGTGTGTTTTGATTTCGTTTCTATGCTTTGCAGCCTTTATCCTTTAGATCACGAGTCTTCACCATGGCATTAAAATTAATCTACTTGTACAGTTGTACTGTGTTGATATATGCAATAATGATTTTTTTTGTTCTGTTGCTACCAACAGGAAGCCATCTGTTATTTGTTGGCTCTTCGCATTGTCATTTGAGATGGGTAGAGGAGGTTCCCAACATAGAATCCATGGATTGTTTGAAAGGGCATTGGCGAATGATAAGCTGCATGATTCCGTAGTGTTGTGGAGGTGCTACATTGCCTATGAGATCTATGTGGCATGCAATCCTGTATCTGCTAAACGAATTTTCTTCAGAGCTATTCATGCTTGCCCATGGTAAGGGCTTCATGTCTTGACTAATTCATAATGTGTTCTTGTTTCTGAACTCCATAGTGTTGTGGGAATTTTGAGTGTTTGTCCAGGGGGTTTGCCTCCGGTTCCCCCTCTGGTTGTATGTTGTAGGTTTTTATGCAATAAAATCACCTTTTTCTCAAGAAAAAATAAAAAAATAAAATGGATGTATAACCAAGAAACTTGGTAATGCCAGACCATTAGACAAATGACTGAAATATCTTCTGGAAACATCAGGTGAGGTTTTGGTATCTATGAGAAATAGGGACTATTAGCTAGGTTTCAGATTGGGTTTTAAGGCATATATGCAAGTTACATAGTAGAGTAAAAGTAGGGGTGAGATAAAGCTGAAAGAATGGATTAGAAAACAATCTATATCATGATAGAAATAGGCAACCGGGTCCTCAGTTTGCTTGGTTTTAACGCTTTGCTTAAAATTTAAGAAAAACAAAGGGAAAATAGATCTTTAGTTTTGCTGTTTATGGACTTTGGATACTAAATATCAAAATAAAGCAGGTCCCCAACCATAGTTAAAGGGAGGGACTTGGTGGAGATTTATTTTGCCCTTTATTTGTTACGTTCAAGGTGTATTTTCTAAGTTCCATGAAGACGACTTTATATTTTTACCTTTCTCATTTTGGATTCATAATGATTGTGCTCACTGAATGTTTTCTAGGTCAAAAAAGCTTTGGCTTGATGGTTTTGTCAAATTGAACTCTGTTCTTACTGCAAAGGAGCTTTCAGATCTCCAAGAGGTTATGCGTGATAAAGAATTGCATTTGAGAACAGATATCTATGAAATTCTCTTGCAAGATGAGATTAAATAGTAAACAAGCTCGGCTTTTTTACTCTTGTAACTATGGCATCCACTGCCTTGTTTGTGTACCAATCTTTTACGATAGTGTAGTATAGAATGTGTTTTTAGCAATAAGGCTTGATTTCTAGCTAGTTTTGTCTTTTTGTTGCTGTTGCTGTTTCTTAGGTTAAAACAAAGTTGTTCGTTCAGTTTGGAGTGGAGGTCGGCCAATCTAGCAGAGATGGAGCTATGGCACTTCAAATAATGCCCGCTTTGATCCCTTCTCTTATTTGATCTATGATAAGACGATGATGGAACTTCGCTTCGGCCCGTGCTTTGTGAGAGAATTTCGATTGCTTCATGGGAATATGGCCATTCCGATTCCAACTGTTTGGTTGGGTGGAATCGGAATCCCATTCCTATGCATTCCCCCATTTGAGGGAATGACAATTCCCTCCCCTCCTTTGGGATTGGAATCCCATTCCAGCTCATTCAGTTTGTTACATAGTTTTGGTTTTAACATATTTATTTTGAAGATAGAAGCATGTATTGCAACATTATTTACTGCTCATTTGTGATTGCTTTCATGCAGTGGCTTTGCAAGGTGGGCCTTGAAAGCCCGAATTTGCTTTAGTAGATTCTTCAACGTGGCTCAGTCAAACAGTTCAACGTCAACCAAAGCTTATTCTCAATAGCATAAACTAGACTTTGTTTTCAATAGCCTACATTAAACTAGCGATTTGCTTTTTGTTGTATCATTAAAAGCTAAAAAGGGATAGTATATTTATTGTTTTACGCAATCAATTTAACATGCACATTAAACAAGAAATGTGTTTGAGTTGAAAATATAAATAATATACATAAAACCAAATATGATAACTAATATTGGGCTTTGCAAGAAAATTAAAAAATTTGCCAAATTAATAAAATCGGTTACGTTTTCAAACTTGTTGAATTTTTTTATTTTATTTTTTTTGACCAAAATGACCTTAACTAAAAAGAGTGGCCCAATGAAACCCGTTTTTCTTTTTCTTTTTCAATCTTAGTTTCCGCTCTTCCTTTTCTTATTGTATTTATCGTCTGAGAGTTACTATCTTCTTTTATCTTCGTACATTTAAGCTTCTCTCTTTCTCTTTCTCTCTCTCTCTATCTATATGTATATCTATATCTCAAAGACCGAGCTATTGTTCAAGTGCTTATTTTCTTTCTTTTTATGTATTGGAGCTGAGTTTGGATTAAGATTGAGAACCAGGTTTATGAAAAACTAATGAAATTGAGATGCTGTGATTCAAAGTTTGTATCAACAAGGCTTGGGATTGAGATGTCAGGTCAGAATAAGAACCAACTATATTTTAACCACTACAGTTGGTAATTTAGAGGTGCAAGGAATCATCCAGTTTGAATAATGCCAGATGGTTGATGATTGCAATTATAGTTGATGACTTAAAATTGCATGTAACCATTCGGCTTGTGTAATGCCAGATGGTTTCTAAGTCTGTAAAACACCATTTGATTTCCTTTGTATTGGATGGTTAGCACACTTGTGAGAATCATATATAACCTTGTGGTCTGTTGGGTTTTAGATGAATTTGAGGGTGTAAATATTATTTTATCTCCCAAGTGATAGATATTTACAACTACAATTGCTAATTCAAAACCGCAATAAACCATCCGGCCTTGTGATGTGAATTGGTTGCCAAGTCCGTAAAACACCATCTAGTCTATCCTATACTGGATGGTTTATATGCGTGAGAATCATACAAAATGATGTGATTTATTAGGTTATAGATGCATTTAATGGTGTAACTACAACTAGATCGTTTGGGGGATAGATGTTTGCAACTATAGTTGATGTTTCAAAATTGTAAGCGACTATTTAGTCTATTAAATGCCGGATGGTTTCTAAGTACATAAAACACCATATAGTTTTCGCTATACCAGATGGTGTGTACACTTGTGAGAATCATATACAACCTTGTGGTCTATTGGTGTATAAAATATTTATTAGTGTCGGGTTGTCCTTTAAATGGTTTTAGACTATATTCTCCCTTAATTTGTTCACTGGTTTGTTCTCTCTCTCACCCACACACACTGTTTAGTCATGATTAGTGTAACCTTTTTGACCCTCATTAATCTTTCAGGTGCAAGGTTCCATTCTGTCTCTGTAGAGTGTTAGTGTATATTGGTCCTGCATGATTTAACAAAGTGTGTTTTAATTCCGTTTCTATGATTTGCAGCCTTTATCCATTAGATCATGAGTCTCCACCATGACGTTAAAATTACTTAATCTACTTGTACAGTTGAACTGTGTTGATATGTGCAATAATGATTTTTTTTTTGTTCTGTTGCTACCAATAGGAAGCCATCTGTTATTTGTTGGCTCTTTGCATTGTCATTTGAGATGGGTAGAGGAGGTTCCCAACATAGAATCCATGGATTGTTTGAAAGGGCATTGGCGAATGATAAGCTGCATGATTCCGTAGTGTTGTGGGGTTTGCCTCCGGTTCCTCCTCTGGTTCCCTCTGGTTGCATGTTGTAGGTTTTTATGCAATAAAATCACCTTTTTCTCAAGAAAAAAAAAAGTAAAATGAATATATAGCCAAGAAACTTGGTAATGCCAGACCATTAGACAAATGACTGAAATATCTACTGGAAATTTCAGGTGAGGTTTCGGTATCTTTTAGGTTTCAGATTGGGTTTATAAGGCTTACACTGTATGCAAGTTAGCATAGTAGAGTAAAACTAGGGGAGAGATAAAGCTGAAAGAATGGATTAGAAAACAATCTATATCATGATAGAAATAGGCCACCAGGTCCTCAGCTTGCTTGGTTTCAACGCTTTGCTTAAATGTGACCAAGGGATAGAAATAAAAGTGCTTAAAATTTAAGAAAAACAAAGGGAAACAGATCTTTAGTTTTGCTGTTTATGGACTTTGGATACTAAATATCAAAATATAGCAGGTCCCCAACCATAGTTAAAGGGAGGGACTTGGTGGGGATTTATTTTGTAGCCTATCCTTGGTTGGGTGTTATTAATTTGTTTATACAAAACCGCACCTATGGCACACATACCCTCCCCTTGTATTGTGTCAGATTCCCCCACTGTCACTTTTACAATGATAGAGAACAGATATCTATGAAACTCTCTTGCAAGATGAGATTAAATAGTGAACAAGTTCGGCTTTTTTATTCTTGTAACCATGGTTTTTAGAAACGAACCAGTGACCGAACAGGTCAAGGGTCCAGTTATCGGTTGGAACGGGCTGGCCGTTTGTCTGACAAAAAAATAAAAAAAGTTAAAAAAATTAGAAAACGGTTAAAACTGTTCGAATGGTTAACCTGCCAGTTCATCGATTTGCTGACCAAAATCAATGGTTTTGGGAAAAAATAGACCGATTCCCAGTTTTTCGGTCTGATCATCCAATCCGGTCCGATTTTGAAAACCATGCCTGTAACTATGACATCCACTGCTTTGTTTATATACCAATCTTTTACGGTAGTGTATTAAAGAATGTGTTTTTAGCAATAAAGCTTGATTTCTAGCTAGTTTTTGTCTTGTTATTGCTGTTGCTGTTTCTTAGGTTAAAACAAAGTTAACTTGCTCATTCAGTTTGGAGTGGATGTCGGCCAATCTAGCAGAGATGGAGATGAGACACGCCAAATAATGCCCGCTTTGATCCCTTCTCTTATTTGATCTATTGATAAGACGATGATGAATCTTCGCTTCTGCCCGTACTTTGTGAGAGAAGTTCGATTGGTTCATGGGAATAGAGCCATTCTGATTCCAATTGTTTGGTTGGGTGGAAGTAGAATCCCACTTTTATACATTTTCTATTTTGAGGGAATGGTCATTCCCTCTCCCTCCTTTAGAAATGAAAATCCATTGCAACTGATTTCAGTTCCTATTTCATTCATGTTTGAACCAAATAGACTATGAAAATGAACCATTCTAATTTCAATTTCAACCGCAAACCAAACGGACCTTAATTTATTTGTGAATCAGATTCATGTTACATTGAACGTGTCATTACCGCAATGGACTGGTTAGACTTTTTATTTGTTACATTGTTTTTGTTTTAACATATTTATTTTAAACATTATTATTTGTGATTGCTTTCATGCAGTGGCTTGCCTTTGCAAGGTGGGCCTCATATGGAAAGCCTAGAATCTATGTATGGTGAAAAAACTTGAAACCCCGAATTTGCTTTAGTAGACTCTTCAACGTGGCTCAGTCAAACAGTTCAACGTCAACCAAAGCTTACTCCCGATAGCATAAAATAGACTTTGTTTTCAGTAGCCTACATTAAACTAGCGATTTGCTTTTTGTTGTATCATTAAAAGCTAAAAGGGGATCGTATATTTATTATTGAACACAACCAATTTAACATGCCCATTTAAATAAGAAATGTGTTTGAGTTGAAAATATAAATAATATACCTAGAGCCAAATTTGATAATTAATATTGGGTTTTTTACAAGAAAATTAAAAAAGTTAGCCGAATTAACAAAACCAGTTACGTTTTCAAACTTGTTGAGTTTTTAATTTTTTTAACCAAAATGACCTTAACAAGGTTCAAAGTATTGATACGTATCGTGCCGGCGGTTTCTTGATACGCCCCTACAGTGGTTGTATCAGATCAGCCGCTGGTTCAGAGGGTAGTCAGGCCTTAAACTGGCCCCTCTACATTGATTTTGAAAAAAAAAAACTAAGTGAAACATAAAAAAACCACTGACATAGGCTGATACGCCCTACCAACATATCGGCCCGTGTCAATATTTAGAACCTTGGACCTTAACTAAAAAGAGTGGCCCAATGAAACCCAATTTCCTTTTTCTTTTTTCAATCTTAGTTTCCCCTCTTCCTTTTCTCATTGCGTTTATCGTCTGAGAATCACTATCTTCTCTTATCTTCGTACATGTAAGCATCTCTCTCTCTCTCTCTGTCTATCTATCTATCCATCTATCTCTTTCTCTCTTAAAGACCGAGCTATTGTTCAAGTGCTTATTTTCTCTCTTTTTATGTATTGAAGTCAAGTTTGGATTAAGATTGAGATATCGTGATTCAAAGTTTGTATCAATAAGGCTTGTAATTGAGATGTTGGGATTCAGACTAAGAACCAACTTGCTTTATGTTAAATATCAATAAGGCTCTATCTAATATTTGATTGTATGTGCAATATTAACAAGATATCTTAACCACTACAGTTGATAATTTAGAGGTGCAAGTGACCATTTGGCTTGTGTAATGTCGGATGGTTTCTAAGTCTGTAAAACACAACTTGATATTCTTTGTGCTGAATGGTTAGTACACTTGTGAGAATCATATAACCTTATGGTCTGTTGGGTTTTAGATGAATTTGAGGGTGTAAATACTATTTTATCACCTAAGTAATAGATATTTACAATCATAATTGCTAATTCAAAACCGCAATAAACCATCTAGCCTTGTGATACCAGTTGGTTGTTAAGTTTGTAAATGGTTTGTACACATGTGACAATCATACAAAACCATGTGATTTATTAGGTTATAGATGCATAACTAAATCATTTGGGGGATAGATGTTTGCAGCTAAAGTTAATGTTTCAAAATTGTAAGTGATCATTTGGTCTGTTAAACGTCAGATGGTTTCTAAGT